GGCAACTAATAAAAGCTAAAAAGCATAAAAAACAATATCATACCTGGCCCAGAAAGATTTCCACTCCCGTCACGGTTGACAAAGGCAAGACGGGAGGAAAGCGTTTAGGCAGGCGGAAAAGCGATTGAGTGATAATCCATCAAACGGGGACAGGTTTCCCGTCTTAGACGGCGATCGGTGTGGAAAGACTCGAAATCAATCACAACTATTTCGAAACACTAATGTTGGCTACGAGTTGAAAAGGGGGATTCCTAATGACGGCAATTTGCGATATTAAGATACCAAAATTGTTTGATTTCTGAAAAAAACTCCGAGGCTAGAAAGCAATCCCATAATAATAAATCAACATCAGGCAAATGCATCAGCATAAGTATAAACAAAGTCGAAATGGCGGCAATAAATTTTTAAACAGTAATTAAAAGCTTAAAACTACATGATACCAAGTTAGCAGAAACTAGAAAGCATAAATTAGGCAGCGCACCTTACCCCGATTTGTGAAATGTTTTAATACATAAGAAGATTTGCTAATTTATTTGAAATAAATACATGGAAATAAGGTCTTTAAATCAATCGATTTGTCAAGAGTTTTCGAGAAGTATTTGCTAATAAATTCCGAATACTTGGAAGTGAAAATGCTAAATCAAAATACTAGAAAGCTCTTCAGGCCAGTCATCATAAATCAGCGAGGAGATATTGATTTACCAACTGAATTAATTAGCCCCACAATCAAAGATTGCTCTATGCAAAACTAGTTCCGAGAACCCGCCTCTGGAAAAAAGAAGCCATTGGATTGCAAAGGCCACTTTTACGATGACAATTTCACTCAGCTCCATTGTCTTGCCTGTTATTTTATTTGTTTTCCAGCTCCCCGACTGCCCGACATTAACTGCGATTAGTCGTGTCAATCCCAATCTTCGCGCACCCAAACTACATGTCTCTGGGAACGAAAAGCGAGATACAAGCCCGAACTCAGATATCTGGCGTAAGCCAAGCGCTATCTGGGCAAGTTGTAAACGCGCGCTAAGCGCATACAAAGCGACATCGCCGGAGACAAAATAAGCCACTTAACGGTTTCCATTATAATTGAAGAAGAAACCGACGAAGACGCTGAAAGCGCAGCTCGCTTCTTGGACAGGGGGAAAACCACGAGCAGTCCATTAGATTACGGCCAAAACGAAATACAAAATACGAAAAACGAAATGTGAAAGATATATTGAACACGCCACAGCCCGTACATCGGCCGTCGCAATTGTTGGCCAGCAGCACTTTCTCCCAGCCACCGCATGATATGCAGACAATTGGCAAGATGCTCGCGCGCACCGCGCCAATTGCATAATTTGGGCGAGCAGGTGACTCAACGCCACTGGAGGCCGACGCCCAGCAGCGTGGGAACTGAGCAATAACCATCAATAACTGAATATTCATATTCGAAATCCTAATAAAAGGCAAACAAAAAATTTCCCAAATACTGCTTTAAAAAACAATTTTTAATTTAAAAGCCAGTTTTGAAAATAAAAGCTACTATCTTGATATATTTTTCCAGCACTATAAAATCTGCATATGAATAAATTTGTTTTCTTTCTCTAAATCATTTTGCTTAAATCCTTTTTAGTAACCCTTTAAGCCTGGTCTTAAGATAGACTTATAAATTGCTTTCAAAGACATACAAATTTTCAAGGTTGTTATTATTATATTTAGTTAATAATTAATGCTTTCGCAGCACAATGAAAGCAAAGCAAATCAAGATACTCTGATAATATTAAACTGTTTAAATGAAAGCAAAGCAAATCAATATACTCTGATAATCTTAAACTGTATGCAGTGAGTTATTTGGTCATTGACTAAGTCAATTGAAGATTTTATAGAAAAAATTCAAAATTACATTAGAAATAGCTACTGACTAGATTCAAAAACAATTTGTAATTCAAAATATATTTCTTTTGTCTAAAACTATGACTCTAATAACTTAAACCTTGTGATCAAAGTTTGTAGGATATCTGTAGTCTCTATAGAATGCAGTGCGTAAAGATTTTGCATGCAATCTAAGTTCAAGATGATAATTATTAAAACCGGTAAATGTTGTATGCAACTGATTGGCAATGCCTGACCTGGGACCTGAACAGTTTTTCAATATTGTACCTATTGCAATCCCATCCCCATCTTGACCTCGGTACTCACCTTGGCATTGGGCTGCTGCTGGAGCTGCAAGAACGTGGCTATTCCATTGCGCACACGGTTCTTGACGCCCCGCACCGTTCCCTTGGCGGACCGGATGGTGGACTGCGTGGAGCTGGCCCCGCAGCGCACATCCCGATAGCCGGCGAAGAGGTCTTGTTGCTCCGTTAGGATCCCGCCTTCGGACCCCGCCCCCTCGGCACTGTCCACCTCGTCGCCGTTTCTCGAGAAGCTGCCGAAGTTCTCGTGCTCGTTTATGTGAAAGCTGTAGTATTGGTCGTCTGCATATTTGTAGTTGATGTTGCTGTTGCCGTTGCTGTTGCTGTTGGTGCGGTGTCCGCCGCCGTTGATGTTGCTGCTAACTGGCAGCGACTGCGATGCGGCCTCGATGCTGTCCAGCGACTCCTCACCGGTTTGCACAAAGTTGGCCCGCTCCACGGCGGCGCGCAGCTCCTCGATTTTCTCCTCGCTCAGCGACTCGCGGGCCAAACGAAACGGACTGGTCTTGGGTTTCTCTGCCACCACGTCCTTGACCTTCTGCTCCTCCTCCTCCTCCGCCTCCGGCTGGGAGAACTGCACCACGTACTCGGTGCCGCGGCGATCGCGAATGTCGCGGAGCAGGCTGTCGGGTAGCAGGGCTCCGAGGACCCTCAAGGACTTCTGGCGTTGCCGTTGGCCGCTGGGCTGGGAGGCGGCCTGCCGCACGTACTCCGTGCTGCTGCTGTGGACGGAGTCGCTGCCCAGGGAGGAGGGTCCACTCTCCTCGCTGTCGTCCGGCTTAGTGGGCAGCCCGGTGCTCTCCAGGTCACTGCCATTGCCGCTGTCCGCCGTCTCGCAGTGGGCCGAGTACTGCTGGAACTGATCCATGAAGCAGCCACCCGCGTTTCCGCCCTTGCTCACAGGGGGCGTGGCCAGCACCATAACTATAAATTTATTTTCTTATTTTGGAGTTCTTGGAGTAAGCCCACTTTCGGCTGGCACTGTCTCGGTTAATTAGAAAAAGAGCTGCGTTTTGGCCCAGGAAAATGCAAGCGTTCAATGACTCTGACGGCCGTTGCACCCGAAACGTCGCATGTCTTTCTGCTTCAGATCTCGTCGTTAGACTGGCCCGACTTTTTCTGGCCAAGACGATCACAGCGCTCAGCTCTCTCAGCTCTCTCTCTCTGAGCCACTTCATTTACTCATTCAGCGCTCAGCTGGGCATTCAGCAACTCCGTGGCTTTCTTTCGGCCAGGTTGCACCTTGGAAGCGCGCTATTAGATTTTGTAATTTTAGCACCCGTTGCCGGGGCTCAAATTGTTTGTCATTAGCCGGGGAAGAAGTTTCTGGCCGCCACGCGAAATTAGCAATTGGCCAACTGAGGTGCGGAGCGGCAGCAGCCGCTGCCAAAGTTGGCATGACGCCTGCGCGTGACTGTGACTGTGAAATGGCCCGATCGCTCGGCCAGATTAGCCAACGCGGAGAACCGCAAGAACACGAATTAGCGGCGACTCCAGCAGCGCCTTCTGTTCCTCAGCGCTTATTAAATAACTTTTCAATTATGGGTCCCATCAGTGGCAGAACTTGACCTACTTGACCTACTTTAAGCTAGCGGTTATTGGCCAATTGCTATTGGCAGCAGAGCTTGGGAAACTATAAATAACCCTTTACACAGTTTGGTATATGTTCAAGATTCTTTGCTGTTAAGAATCAAATCATTAGAGTAATTTACACTTTTTGTAATTTCCAAAAGATCATTATATTTTTTGAAATAAATCAAAAACGATGTATTTATTAAATTTGACATTGATTTTTGCAACTCAAACTTCTTTTTAACTGATATATTTTAAGATATAAAATCATGGGCAATTTTTTATTTTATTTTAGAAACGGTTTCAATGGATGTGTCAATTAACTTATTAAAACTTTGCACAGTTACACAATTATAGTTCTTAATGTTCGTAGAACATTTTAGTCATGACCTGTCCCAAAACGTAGCAAAACATTGAAATTAAAAACATCTTGATTAAACACAATGCCAAGGATACAACCAAATTAAATAAACCTATAATTGAAATCAAAAACATCTTGCTTAAACACAATGCCAGCGATTAAGGGCACCCGAATGTATCATAATTAATCGATTATTTCAACAAATAATTGCTAATGATATTCCGACTATCTGAACACAATACGCGTGACAATTTTCTGAATTTTTTTTATTGAATGAGTCGCAGTCATCGGCAGCTTTCCGCCGCATCTCGGACAACTTCCTGCACAGATAGCATAAGTTACTATAATTCATTCACTCGTCTGCAAAATGTGCTGGCAGCTTGCCATGAGTTGGCCAAAAAGAATCACTGCTGTGCGCATTTTTTATGCACACATTATTTGTATTTACGCCAGAATTCTGGCTGAGGATGAGCACATTATCGGCTTAGAGACGAGCGGAAAAGATACTAACTATAAAGCTGTCGCCGCACAATCTATGCAAATGCCGAGTTGCGGCTTATCTTGCGGGCTTTCCGAAATCGAGCGAATATCACGTAGCCGCAGTGTCTGCACTCCGCACTTTGGATGCTTCTAATTGACGGCTGGCGCTATCAATAGGGCGAATCCGGACAATCGAAGCATCTATCGGGCAGTGACAAATTTCGCAGAATGCCGATGGCAAGCCAAGCGTGTTTATCGCGCAATGTGATGTCTGCAGAATTTTGGCTGCGATTACAAGTATATCATCTCGTCGAAGAACTGTGGACATGACGCGTGCCATTGCCGGCATATAAAAGGCCCGAGCTCATCTCGAATTGCATTGAGTTTCGCAACTGTCTCAGAACTACAAGAACATGGCTAGGTTGCATATCTGTTTAGGCCTATTTATACAAGTGCTGCTGACATCCGCCGCCCAGGATCACAATCAAATGAGCATGCTTTGCTCCGACGACGACACTCCAGCCTGCGCCCAAAGTCGACATAATGGAATGTACTTCTTGTTCAGCAACGAGTGTGACCTTCGAAAGGCCCAGCAGGGCAACCTCATGAACGGGCCGCTATGTGAGTAAATAATATTTTAATTTGCGATTTTAAGATTGATTTAAAAAGCACAAAAATAATATAACTAGTCTAAGGTTTGACTAGCTTTCGTTTAAAGCGTTTTTGAATTACAACATATGAAAACTTTAATTGGCTTCAAAGAAGACAATTATCAAAACAATAAGAATAACTACAAATAAGATTAAATAAAATACATTACTGATACATGATTGTTTAAGCTTATTTTACACACCTTTTCTTATTATTGATTTTCTTTATAGATGATGTGACCCTGCGCTACTGTTTTCCCAGCTGCGAGTTCGAATGCAGCTCAAGATACCAGCCAGTCTGTGGAGTCAATTCGCAGTCAGGGGAACGCAAGACCTTCAAAAGCCGCTGCGAAATGATGCGTTCCGCCTGTCTGTCTCAATCGGATTGGCTGGTGCACCAATGGGGAGTATGTCCTAAGGCCAACACGGTGCCCCAGAGTAGCGAGAAGCCACCTGTGCCTGTTCCCTGCACCAGGATCTATCGCCCTGTGTGCGCCATGTACGCGGGTGTCAAGTCCACCTTTTCCAACGAGTGCCTGGTAAATGCCGAGAACATCAAGACCCAGAGAAGTGAGTAGTCTTTATTTGCATCGTACTTTATTTAGAAGATGCCACAGAAACAAATTGGCTGCCAAGAGCCGACTTGACCCACTTTTGTTTAAACGTACCCCATATCGCCGTCCCCTTTGTTATGAAATGCGATTGCGATCGACTATAACTTCCTGTGTTTTTTTTCCTGCGCACAGATTGGCGCATCGTTTCCGAGGGCCTTTGTGGCGAGGACAGCACCAAGATGAAGCACAGCCGCAAGGAGAAGCCAAAGGCCAAGCCCAAGCTGGATGCGGAGCGCACGAAGCGGAGCCACGAAGGCAGAAGGTTGTTCACTCAGGCGGAAGACTTCCAGATACCGGAGGACGCCGTGGAGATCTACGCCCCCTCCACCTTCCACACGCAATTCATCAGCCACACGGGCGCCATGGAGAAGAGCTACTCGCTGCCCGCCAGGAAGCCCTACGTGGTGTTTCCCCCGAAACCGAAGGTGCGACGGCCCCAGGGAACTGCGAAGAGCCCCGTGAAGTCGTGCGTTTTCGGCAATGGGTCCGTTTGCGGAAACTTTAAGGGACAGACCCGCACCTTTACCAATGTCTGCGAACTGATGGAGTATAGCCAAAAAGTGGGAAACGGTAAGCTTTTCAGGGGCACTATTGACCGAATTGACTAAGTTTGACCAAAAACTGCAATTCGACTGCCACATTAGCTCAACTGTTAACAATTACTAAATCAATTCGTTATTTAATTCCCTTGTCTGCCCTAACTTGGTATATATATAAGTCATAATTTACCCAACAAAGATAAACATGGGATCAAATTGTAAAGCGCTCAGTCGGCCTACCCATCTAAATCAAAAAAATTTTATTAATACCATTTTTATTCCCAATCTTGTCAGAGCTGATATTGATACTGATAGTCCAAAGAATTAGCAAGCCGCTTAACTTTATAATATGCATTATATGCCAAAATGCGATTCCCCTTAACTTTCCATATATTCATTACATTTGAACTCTTTTGTTAAAACTAAGCTTTCTGTGTTCCATTTATACATGTCTCCCTCCTTTACTTTTTAAATTGATCTACTTTGCGAACTCGTTTTTTCCAAGCATAAAACTTTTAAGCCATTCGATTTCTGTACTATCTTCGTATAGTTTTATAATTAAGTAAAAAGGTTGTTCAAACATATCCTAATTATCATTGCACCCACTACAGCATGGACTGTTTCCCACAATGGCGTCTGTCATCGCTGTGAGAAGCCCTGCCCCGCAGTCTATAAGCCAATTTGTGCCACTCGCAATGGCATCGAACACACAATCATCAACGAGTGTTATCTGGAGAGAGTGCGCTGCAAGCACCCCAACAGCAGTAAGTTTAGGCCTTCTTATTAAGTATAAAGAGTAAAGTATAACACACTCTATCCTGCAGTTTGGAAGTTATCTCATAAGGGTGAATGCCTGAAGCCCAGTAAAGTGACAACTGAGGGAAGTCTTATACTGCCACGTGTTGTGTTTAGGATAAGTAAAAAGATCACAACCGAAACACAGCACAACATACCTAGAAAAACTCTACTGAAGACTACAACCACTGAGGCTCCAACTTTCAAGGCCACTTCCCCTTCCCTAGAAGTTAATAATCGCAAAATACGCAAAATAGAGCTGGCTAAAGCGGGATTTTCGGGTTTCGGTGGATCAAGTGGTTCCAAGCACATGCACACTGATGAAAACTCTTCCTGGTCCATCAGTGACAACTGGCTGGTACGGAAAACTCTCGACAATGTCAAGGCCTTTTTTGGCAAAAAGCCTACGTCTTACTGGACTGTTCCAGCGAAAGGAGCAAGCACTTACAGTACATCAACGAGCACAACCACAGCAGCATCGCCACCGAAACTGCCAGCCATTTTGAGCTCGGCGTCCACAGAGCTACTAAATTTGGATGTTGCAAATGCAGTCAGTGTCTATGAGCCTGAATTGCTGTCTTTGGGGACCACTAAAGAGGTAACCTCAACCACACCTGTTCCAAGCACCACTCAGCCGCCCAGCAGTACACAGCATTCGAGCACGGAATTACCCACCACCAGTTCGGAGACTGCCTCTTCGAATGTGGAAACGGCAAGTGAAGAATCCACCACCGAGTCCGAGGAGACAAGTCATCCGCCAACCACCAGCATTGACTCCAGCACCACTGCGGCACCGCCATCTTCGACCACTAAAACCGAGGAGTTGAATAGCCAAACCACTGGCAGCGAGTCGCCCACCACAGTGGCCTCCAGCGAGCTGCCAACTTCAACCGTGAACGCGGACTACGCGGCGGATGAGTCATTTTCAGAGTCCAGTGGTCAGACCTCCATCTACGGGCTCGACAAGAACTCTCTGATTATGCGTTTGTTACGAGCTAGAAGTAAGCAAAACGTGCTCATTTAGTTGTCTTAAGCTCTGTTAAAAACTATTCCTAAGTTGTTAAATACATTCCATTCCTATTACGTTTTTTAAGAATACATCAAACTGTGTTTTTTCTAAGATTTATTTTAAAGGAGAGATGGCTTATAAAAACCTTTCCTACATTTTTCTAGTTTAGAAGAATGAATCACATTCGGAACCATTTAGCTAAATGTTTAATGAGATTTACGGATCTTCATTATTGATGAACACTTTGAGCAATAATAAAGAATGGCTTTTGATTAACTTAGCTATTAAGTTCGTTTTTGACTAGGCTAAAAGTTTTCTTTTTAGATAATAATCAATCGGAAAGTGCAGTATAGTAAACAATTTATTTGTTTAATTTTATTTTCGAACAACCGTTATTAAATAGTTACATTAATATAACATGTATTCTACATGTGTGGTTTGACGCCCTCTTGCGGTAGGTCAAGGAAGCAAATTTAAGGTGGCAACGCTTGGCTTTGCTGTTTTCAATAGTGAACGTAAGATGGCGCCAGTACTGCATGTAAAAAAGGAGTAAAGGTAATAATACCATTCAACATACAAATTGTACTAATGTGGGAATTTACTGAGTTAATTTAAAAATCATGTTGTTTTGACTCTATAAGGAATATATAATATAATATATTTCTACATATATGTTTAGACCCCGCGTGCACATGTAAACAGTTTATGTTCACATAGTTAAATTAGTTTCCAAAAACATTATCATCAATATATATTTACAATAGTAGTAAGAGTAATGAAATTAATCAATTAACTCCTGTTGAAGGAGAGTTGGCTTATTAGCTGAACACAGCAAGGGATAAATCAATTGATGAATAATAACAAATAATATATAATAAAACTGCTGAAGAAGATTATCCTCTGTCACAAATATATATTTCAGAAAATATAACATGGAAGAACAGTAGACAGGTGAGTTTTTAAAGCCTCTCGTGCTTCAGAAAGAAACTCTTCAGGATATCTTAGTTCTTCTCCTTCATTTGCATACATATTATATAGGATTCGTCCCTTAAAACCATTCGAAATCTTTTAATTCTTCACCGTTAATTTAGCTTTAAAGTTTTGCCAAACGTAGTTTGTAAAAAAAAATTAGTACTCAAGTATAGGTAAAAGTTTTTTTGTAAGAACCATGCTCACAATAGTGGGGTATTTAAAACAAACACTTCTGACGTCAAACAAAAACACTACTTAACGAGGTAAAATAATCGTCACGATCGCTCTTTCAACATATAAAATATCTGATATCAAATTGTGTGACGAAAATGAATAAGCAAGGGTTTTATAGTTTCAGTCAGAAGTTTGCACGCATACGATTATAGCCTAAGATTTTTTAGATCGTCACGATTTCAGATTTCGGACCACTTTTGGAACAGGCTGTTGGATTGTACAGTTTTGTCAATTTTAAAATGTATCTTTACTATATCCAATTTGATATAGAATACAATTCGCTGGAACAAGAGGACTTATACATTTTTCTTATAGCTGCAACGGTATATGAACTTCAGCTTACCGAAACTTTTTAATTTATTTTTTTGAAGGAGAAAGAGTTTATATAAAAAACTATTTTCAACAGTTTAATGGAAATAAAATGTATATATACCATAAAATGTTAAGGATGAAAGGATGAGGCATTTTTTTATCGTCCGAGCAAATAATTTTTAATAGCAAATAAATTGAACGGGTGCACTTGAGAAAAACACGCTATGAAAGTCCCAAACCCGTCAATTTTGTATCTCAATAAAATGCGATTAAGACTAAGGATTCTTCGTTTGCTTAACAGCTTTATACTTAAAGTTGAGGATCAATCCAATCAGACAGGTGCCCCCGAACGGAAATTTCACTATCAAACTGGTCAAGGCCATAACCACGTCTTTACGACCCAGGTCTGTCTGGTGGCCAGTTCTCCTTGGCCACTGGCACTTTGACAATTATCAGCCCATCCGGCCGCCTGCTGCCGCAGCCAAATGGCCCGAAAATCTCGGCACTTGGATTTACTTAATTACCCAGGCAATTCGGTCTCGGTTTCAGCCTCTCACCGCCTTTGTTAACTTCTCGTAAAAGTGGTTTTGGGGGCTGTGGATTGCAGAGCGTGATCCGAAATCCTCCAAATACCCGCACGTTTGCGTGCGCCTCGTGATTTAATATGTAGCCATTAAATCGGGCTGGATGTGGGGTGGGTTTTGGCAATAATTGCTGGCCGCTTGCCAGCCAAATATTTTCGAGGCTGGCTTAAAACAACAATGTTTACACCAATTGGCCACCAGAAAACGGACAACTTTCTTCGCAGCTGCGGGGCCGATGGATTCTAGCCGAAAGCCAACCCAGAGTCACTTCATCCGATTACCTCATTGTCATTAAGTGCGACCACTGACAGCAGCAGGCCACCATCTGCAGGCCAATCAATTGCATTGCGAGCGGTGTCAGTCAGCGCCGCTCGAGAATTCGAAGCAAAAAGAGTCAACAAGCTGCGCCAATTGTTACTTTCACTAGTCAATAATGCAACAGGGGCATTGGCAAAGCATCTCCGACAACAACAACTTTCGCATTCAGCATTCAGCATTCAGCATCCCGTGTCTGCGGTCGGTAATTAAGACGGTCTTTGCCCAGCTTCAGCAAATCATTCCCAGGCCTAGTTGAAGTATGCAAATTGCACGATGCAATAGCCAATCGGTGGCCAGCTTAAACTCGCATAAATGCACATTTGCACTTATTCTGATTGGCATCGTTCGCCGGATCGCCTGTTTGCCTGTTTGCCTGTCACTGCCACTGGCGCCGGGCCAGCGATATGGTTATACTTCTGCACCACGATTCACTTTCGTTGGCTTTCATTGGGACGACTCACTGAAACTACACTACACTACACTAAACTACACTACGTACACGCAGCGGGAAGGCGGTCAATTGGCGGTTGCCTGTTGCTCGACATTGGCTTCATAATCCCGCGACAATGCGATTCAATTTGTTGCCGATCGAGCGTTGATCAGAGATCGCGGATCGCTGATCGCGCCACGGAGCAATCGCCTCTTGGAGCCGCTCTGACCCAGAAAGTTTCATTGGCAGTGGCAGCAGGAATTGCTATTCCGGTGCACACTGCACACTGCACATGAACATTAGCTGGGAAAACCAGCTAGAGCAGCAGCTAGAGCTGCAGCTGGAGTTGGCCTGCGGTTGCGGCTGCGCGATAAAAGGAGTAGCCAGCACAAATCGGCTGCCATTTGCGACTCGTCCACTCAGCCGTGCGGTGGTGCCCCAGTGATCCCAGTCATATCAACGCGGTCACATCGAATCACATCCAAGACATGCTGCTGTGTCGCATTGTGCTGGCACTGCTGCTGCTGGTGCTGCTCCACTACTGCCACGCCGATGAAGAAACCACTACGATATTGCCCGTTTCCCTGGCAGAATCGATGGCCAGGTCGGCTGGATCCTCGGCCGGATCCTCGGCGGCAAGAGCCAGCCAGGGCGATGCCTACATAGCCCGCAACCAGAAGCAGTGCTTCGAGACCCGCAGCCTGGTGTCCTGCATCAAGTACAAGGCCAGCAGGCTCATCTGGAAGCTGGCCACCAACAGTCTCGGCTTCTTCCCCAACGAGTATGGACGCGATTTGGGCACGGAAAAGGGTCGCTGGCTGAGATTGGTCCAGTTGGGAGAGCCCGCCGACGAGGTGGTCGTGTTCAACGACGCCAAGAGCTTGGAAGGTGGGTCTTGGTCAGGGTTTGCGTCTGCGTCTGCGTCTGCGACCGAAATCGAAAGTTGTTTTCGGTCCAATCCGCAGCTCGGATCTCTGTGCGGCGGTCGGGGAGTGTAATTGATCACCTGCGCCTGGTCAGTATCCGAAGCACTCACTGCTTGTTTGAATGGATAACCCACTGCGCGGATGTTTACCACCCATCCGGCTGTAAATTAATTTGAGCAATTATAGCCGTTGGCTCTTTCGCATTTCTCGTGCGGTTAATTAACCGCCGCCGTGTTTGTTTTGCAGGTGACAGCGAGCTCACGCTGGTGCTGAAGTTCCTGAAGAGGGCGATGGAGACTTTCGGGCGCAATCACGGACTGCAACTGAAGCTGTCCAGCGAGAGTGGAGCGCGGGTCATGGAGGAATCCGGTGGGTTCTGACCAAATACCATTCCCAGACCCGAATTCATTTAGATATTTTCTCCCCCTTTAGAGGCCCGTTTGAAGCGCAAGAAGAAGAAGTGGCTCATCATCCTGCCCCTGGTGATTCTGATGAAGATCGCCCACTTGAAGATGACCCTGGTGAGCATGCTGATGGGCGTGCTGGGCATGAACGTGCTGCTGGTGGGCGGCGTGGGCTGGCTGATCCACTACCTCAAGTACAAGACCATGTGCAAGATCCATCCGCACCTGGTGCAGACGCACTCGCACGTCTACGAGAACGATCCCACGGACTACTCCCAGTTCGTGGGCAGCAGCAGCTACTCCAACTCCTACTCCCCGTACAGCTCCGGATCCGGGTCTCCTCACGAGATCGGCGGCAATACCTACAGCAAGGACTGGGCCACGAGTAGGGCTTACAACGCCCACAACTATCTGGACACGATCAGCAAGCGAATACAGTAGGGGGGTCCGAAGAGCCAAATGGACTTGTGCCAGCAACATTGAAACCTAGTGAATTGTTACCCGACGCCGTCGTCGTCATTAGCTTAAGTAATTTATTTGTATCCTAATAAAGTTATTTATTACATTTTTATCGCGCAAACCTAAGCGATCTAGAGCTGCAATCAAAATCTGGAGAAATTGGGCGAAACAAAGTGTTTCACACTAAAAATTCGTTAGCAAAACATTTGAAGAGGTTTTTGGAAATAAGGAACCCAATAAATATAACAAAATTGAAAGATAATCATTGGTTACGAACGAAATCAATAAAAAAAAACATGCAAAAATCATTGCGCACTTGAAAAGATGATATAAATAGCAGCCACCTTCTATATTTGCTATGCTTTGCTATTTTAAGTGCCTCCTTTTCAAGTTAAAAAACATCAAGAAAATGATTATTTTCCTCTTCTGTTCATAATTTAATCAAAAATTCCTTTAAACTCAAGTCAGTCTAATTGAAATTTATTACAACCATAATCGATCCAGAGCTTAAATAAAAATCTGGAGGAACTGGGGTAAGCAAAGGGTTTAATACTACAAATTTTTGGAAATGATGCCAATTTTGTCATGGGTAAATATAGTAATACTTCAAAAATTAAAAGAATAGATAATTGCGTTCTTCAAAGGATGATCTAAGAAGCAACTAAATGGAACATTTAAATCTGATATTATAAGTGCCTAATTTAGAGTTTAAAAAAAAAAGGAGTGTTTATTTTCATTCCCTGTTCATAATGTAATCAAACATTTCTTTAATCTCAATTCAGACAAACGAAAAATCTAAAAAAAAAAAAACCAACATAAAATTAAAACACTAATTATTGTTTGAAAGCCATCCCCTATAAATCAAAATAATACATTTGCACACGATGTTTGCTTGCTAGCTTATTAATATTTGAAATTCTTGCAGAAGTGATGATACAAGTTTAAAAGATTTTTCCTGAGATAATTTTCCCTCTGGCCCCTTGGATTCACCAACGTAAACAATTCTCGGTTAGGCATAAAACAATTTGTTTATGACGAAAGCAAACAAGCACTTTCCCACAGAGACCGCTGGCCAAATAAAAATGAAAACAAAAACGTGTGAGTGGCGCTGGGCACTCGTTTTTACCCGGGCTCTTATCAGTGCCATTGCCTTTGTTTACCAAACAAAGGGGATTTGCCTTCCGAGAAGCCATTTCAATTTGGTCGAATCAATTTGTTTACTAACGCTCAATCCTGGGCCAAAATATGGAAGTTCAATTGTGTCTAGAAATGCTTTAAACTATACAGTTCGAAAATAAATGTTTAGCCCTTGAAATTGGCAATTAACTTAAGATATTATGGCTGACACTTTACATAAATATTTAAAGTACACTTGTAGTAATTGGGTAAAGCTGAAAGGAAAGCTGATAGAACAATTGCCGCTAACGTGTTTGAGAAACAAAAAATATAATTCCCAAGGAATTATGCCAGAAAGTCTATCATGTTCTGGCATTTTAATTATAAGTTGTAAACGAATCAAATATCGTATGAAAGCGTAAGTTGACTTACCTAAATTTAAAAATTGATAATAAGGTTCTCATTTTATGGGATCCAAAAAAGTAAACTACATATTAGTCTAATTTTATGAAACCAAATGGTTTTATTGAACGCCTTTTTAAATTCACAGCCCCAAAATATCGTCATTCTTCATTTCCAGCACTATCGATTCACAAGTTAAATAGATTTCCAAGAATAACTTCTCTGTTTGCGAATACAATGAAACACATTGGCTTCCAACATAGATTTATTTGTTATTTTTGCATTTTATTTATGCCGCAAACAGACGCGCCCTGCAGCTCCGTCCCTCGAACAGCTGGCGCGGGCCAAAAATGTGCGGGCGGCTCTTTTTGGCCCGATGTTTACCAGCTCCTTATCAGAGGCCTGCCTTTGTTTGCAATACAATTTGCCTCGGACTCCCAAGAAGCCATGCCATGCCGATTGCTAGCCAGCCAACTACGCACGCCCCGTAATCAATTGGAATATTTCCCCACCATAGGACGAACTAATGCCACTTAAGTCCGATTCGGGCCAACTGGCTGCTATCTGCCGACAACACATGTAAATGATTTAGCCCGGCAAATATCGGTGCGCACATTCATCTGTTTGCTCTCATTTATGGCCTGATGCAAAGCCAAACAAATGGCTGCACTAAAGTGTCGCTCTAACCATTGGCAGATATATGTATACATTTTAATACATAGGTTAAAAAAAAGGGTGCCGTGCAGTATGTGGTCAATAATATTGATAGGTTTTGCATTATTGCTAAGAAAAAAATACTTTTTTGAAAGTGTGATTAAGAAAGTTTTAAATCTGAGAGACTAGTTTGAGTAAAAGCGGACGGACGGACAGACTAGCAAAGCTAGGTCGACTTTTCTGCTGATCAAGGATATATATACGTTATTGGGTCAAAAATGTTGCGTTTGCGTTGAAAACTTCTGTCTGTTGACTTAATTAATCCTACAGTACCAGTACTTTATACAGATATTGAAGTTACGTGTTTTGGAAATCTTGTTAACCCGAAACAACTCAGAAGTTAACTCGATTCGTCACGTTAAGGGAAATGCTTCTAAAAGACCATGATGATTCTAAGACAAATAAATCTTATAATGTATTTGGCATGGGATGTCTCTTAGCTCGACGAATTCTGATGTGTTGGTTTTATAAAAATATGGGTGTTCTTATAAACATATTTTAGAAAGGAGAATTGTGTTGTTTTTGACATTCTTTCTTAAAAAATTTCGAGGAGAGTATAGCAATCTCCGTATAAGGAACGAACATTTGCAAATCTTGCCCCCTAGATTTTAGTAGTAGCTAAATGCTATAATGAAATTCGCTGCGTCATCTGGCCATAAAGCTGCACTCGCCATTGTACAGACGAAAAGAGAACTGATTAAAAGGAGACTATATAGTAATTATCTCGGGCTGTGCCTGGCATCTTTTAATATTACCAAGCTTATCGTGACTTGACTGATAAAAAACTGGTGCTGGATTGCTCAGAATATAAAAGCGGGTCCAGTTGCTATAAGACCATATTCGCGAGATCGCAGCAGCCAAGAAACAGTCACTATGCTACCGAGTTGGCTAACAGAGGAGTACATTCAGAAGGCCCTTCAGGATTTCCACAAGGACCCGAAGCTGAGAGTCCAGAAAGTCTGGGCCAAGCCAGCGACAGAGAAAGGCGAGAACTTCGTGGGCGTGATGACCCGTGTCTATGTGGACTTCGTGCAGGGTGATGGGTCTGAGCAGAAGAAGTCCTACATCCTTAAGCAAGCCGTTCCGTCGGACGCTCCCCAGGCGAAACTCTTCGAGGAATACGATGTCTACAACAGGGAACTGGAGATGTACGATGTCGTCCTGCCGAAGATGGCCAAGATACTCCGGGAGGCTGACTTCAACGAGAAGCTAATGGCCGAGGCCATTATCGTTGACCGGGAGCGCACCATCATGATCCTGGAGGATCTGGCTCCGCTGCGCTACACGAATGCCGACAGAGTGAAGCAACTGGACATGGCCCACACCAAGCTCGTCCTGGACATGCTGGCCAAGTTCCATGCCTCTGCCATTATCCTGAAGCAACGCGAGCCAAATATCCTGAACCGAAACTACGAAGCGCATTTCTTTTCGCGGGAAAAAAAGGGTTACGGAGAGGTCTTTGTCGGCTTGTTCAGGGCATTCATTAGGTACGTGAAGACCAAGCCGAACTTGAGGAATCGCTATGCGGACAAGTTGGAGGACATCATCGGCAATTTGATGGGCTATGCTGCCCGATCTGTCGATGTGGGGGAGAAGGACCTGCAGACACTGGTGCACGGCGATTGCTGGACCACCAATGTGATGTACCTGTATGATGACGAGGGCAACCCCACCTCAGTTCTGCCCATTGACATCTTGGACATCTCCGGTAGTCGATTTGCATTACTTCTTCAGCACGTCCCTGAAGATCGATGTGTTAGCGAAGGAAACTGAGCTCGTGCAGTGTCATTACTACGCTCTGAAAAATACCTTGGAAGCTCTTTCGTATAAGGGGGTCTTCCCCAGTCTGTTCGAGTACCAGCTTCAGTTCGAAAGACGTCGATTCTTGAGTAAGTTCAGAAATAAAGTTACTCATGCCCTCAATCATTCTTACATCTATTTTTTTAAAGGTGTTATAATTGCTAACGTGTTTCAACCGATTATGGTATACCAAGGCAGCGAGGACTGTGAGTTTGTTAATCTCTATCAGGATACTCCAGAAGGCATCAAGTTCCAGGACTCGATGTATGAAAGCAAGGAGATCCAGAGAAGGATCGACAGAATATTACCCATCCTTGATGCCAAGGGCTTTTTGGAAGCTCATTAAATTAAGATTAAGTAATAACAAAAAAAATTCAGCACGATTTGGGACCATTAGCTATTCTATTTTGTACTTCTAATTATAGACTATATTTGCCTAAATATCTTGGGAGTTAAATAAATTTGATAACGAAATAAATGTGTAATTAAAAAGGTTTTATTCTGTTCACAATCCACTTGAGTAGTCTTTCAAGACTTTTATTTCAAGACAAAAATAATTGTGGAAACGTCTTAAGACAGAGATAAAATCCGGATTGAACTGACTGTTCACTTCTTTTGCGCATGCTTTAAGACAATAATTAAATAGAAAATGATTATGACTCTGTTAGTCTTTATCCAGATTTGACTTTGAATTTTAAATAGCAATAATAAAAATGCAATTTAAAATGTCAATAATAAATTTCGGTCAATCCACTTTATATTTTTTCAAGACTCTTAGTTCATGACAATGTTTAAATTTCTATCGACGGAGGTAAAAAGCAGTTAGGAGATGCACGATTTAGTTCGTTTGCATTGTCCTGAAAAATAGGATTCATTAGGTTAGATAATAATTTACTGGTATTTGTATTCGTTTATATTAAGTTGATATCCCGCGCCCTGCAGTCACTGCTTATATACGGACAAACCAAAATAAAGATTGTGGCTTATGTGTTTGACTCAATAAAATTTTGGAGAACGAGAATGATTAGACGAATCTCAAGCAGTACCCAGGGAGAATGACTTGTCTTTCTACAATTCGCAATCTCACAATGACCTCGTATAACTGAGAATTCACTTGAGAATGGCGATAGCATGCGAATTACCATTACAAAGCTTATCGTAGGTGAATTTAATTGCGACTGTGTCTGATAAGACCCCGTTTCGTCATAATATTAAGGTGAGTCTCGCAACAAAGACATCAGAAGTACGAGATACCCCAGAGCGTAGACAATGCTTCCCACCTGGCTAACCGAGGAATATTTGCAGCCCCGGCTGAGGGCCTATTACAAGGACGATGGGCTCAAGGTCCTCAAAATCTGGGCCAAGCCGGCGACCGGAAAGGGTGAGAACTTCGTGGGTATCATGACCCGCATCCACGTGGACTACCAGCTGGGCGATGGATCGGAGCAAAAGAAGTCCTTCATTGTCAAGCAGGCCCTTCCCGAGGATGTGCCCCAGGCTAAGGTCTTCTTCGAGTACGACCTCTACACGCGAGAGATGGACATGTACGAGTTCGTCCTGCCAAAGCTGAAGGAGCTGCTGGCAGAAGCTGGCCTGGTGGGAAAGCTCACTGCGGATGCCATCGCCGTGGACAGGCAGTACAGCACCATGATACTGGAGGACCTGGCGCCGTACAAGTACGTCAATGCGGACCGAGTGAAGATGCTGGATCTGGCCCACACCAAGCTGACTGTAGAAATGCTGGCCAAGTTCCATGCCGCAGCCATAATCCTTAAACAGCGCCATCCGGAACTTCTGACCAAGTGCTTCTCGACGCACTTCTTTTCGCGAGACAAAAAGGCCTACACCGAAGTCTACTTGGGAATTTTCAAAGTATTCTTGAAGTTCATAAATGGACATCCCAATTTGAAGCAAAGCTATGGCGCCAAATTGGAGAAGTTGTGGCCGCACATCATGGAGTACGGAGCTCGGGTCTATGATGTGGCGGAAGGGGAACTGCAGACGTTGAACCACGGCGATTGCTGGACCACCAACATCATGTTCCAGTACGATGAAGCGGGAATTCCCCAGACAGTCGTAGCCATTGATTTTCAATTCAGCAACTGTACTTCGCCTGCCAACGATCTGCACTACTTCTTCACCACTTCGCTGAGGGAGGAAGTCCGGAACAAGGAGCCCGAACTGGTTGAGCATCACTACAACACCCTGAAAGCTAATCTCGAAAGGTTCTCGTACCAGGGTATGTTCCCAAGCCTTCAGGAGTACCAGCTCCAGTTTGAGCGTCGACGATTTATGAGTAAGTAAAGTGACACTTATCGGCCTAAGACATTGCCTTAACCTTTGATATTTCTAAGGTCTGATGGCGCACCTCTTTAAGCCTTTTATGATCTACAATGGCAGTGAGGAGACCTCGGACTTCTCGAGTCTGTACAAGGAAACCCCGGAAGGACTTCGGTTCCAGAAATCCGTTTATGAAAGTGAAGTGGTGCTCAGAAGTGCAACCAAATTGTTGGCTATTCTTGACAGCAAGGGTCTCTTGGATCTTCAGTAGGCTAGGATTGCCTACTTTTATCATAAGTGTACAAACAAAACTATATAAATTTATATGAATACACAAGTAAACAAAAAAGCCGTTTATTCACTTTATCAAGGAAAGCACTAAGTCTTAGATAAGTTTTAATTTAGATATAATTTATTTTATTTATTTATTATTTCTTATATTTGCAATTGAATAAAAAGTGTTCAAAAAAATTCTTGATAACAATCAAGGTGACAAATTTTTATTTACTTTTTTAAGATAATTTCAGTGATAATGTTTGTATACCCATTTATTTATAAGCGGATACTTTACTAGATAAGCTATGAGCAGACATCAAATTAGTTTAAAATGTCATATAACGTCATTTTGGGCGGGGAACCATTAAGTGCGATAGCCTTTTGCCTCGAGTGATAACTAAAAACTTACTTGATGTGACTCAAATCGTCGGGTAGACAAAATGGAAACTCGGTGCGAATTTGTGGCAAACCTTAACCCAATGTGCAGAGCTTTTCCACCCCCAGCTTCAGTGATAAGAAAGCTCCGCACAGCTGATGGACGAGAACCAAAACAAAGTCGCACGGATGGCGGCCTTTGTGTGCCACGCGGCGTATACGTAACTCGCACTCCGCCACATTGGAAATCGGACAGATATATCGACTGGGACGAGGCTTTATAAGCAGGGGATGCGCACCGAAAGCCAACAGATGGTCGCTGACTGTGCACGCGTGTGGTTATCGGAGATCAGTAAACAGCCAAACTAAACACCGAAAGTTATTGTAATAAAAATGCGTGGAATATGCGAAATAATTAAAATGCGGCCGCAGATTTATTTCGAATTTTGAGGCGTTCGGATGCGTCGAAAAACTCTTTGGATCTAAACGGAATTACGAATTCTGAGAGGTATGCCCTCGTCGCTGTGTTTTGTGTTTATTTTCCCAACAATGCGCCGCCATTAAAAAGTGGAAAGCGTGAAGATTTCGCACGGAGCCTCGACATTTACGACTTTTCGTACCCTGATCCGTAAGTGGGCCGCGGAAATTCGCTAATGGCCTGCCGGACGCTCCGCAGTTGTCGGTATTTATTATGATTGTTCTCCCGAACGCGCTTCAATGAATCGGAACTGCAAGTGGCGAATTAATCGAAAGAAAATATTATTCCAGCGCGAGTCTCCCGGGAAAAGAAATTTTTTTCCATCTGTAATGAAAAGTGACTTGTGCGGCCAAGGAAAAGAATAAATAATATGCCAAAATTACTGAGCTCAGGAAACCGAAAACCGATTCCGTTCCACTCAATGGAAAATTAATGAATGTGCATCGCGCGTAATGAGATGTAAACGAGTGCTGCAGTTCAATACAATGTACAGCCGAAAAGCAATTTGCCTAATGGCATTATTAATGGACTTTCAATAATTAAGCATATATCTAGCATTATATTGAAGCCATATTTTGGGCACCTACGTGCTGACAGGAATATTGGGGCAATTATAATGAAAATTACATGAAGGATTAACCATCTGAGGCCACACAAATTGTGTGCGCCAGCATATGTACAATAGTTAAACCTGAGCTTTCGTTGAATAATAATTGCGTTATGGCAAATGACTTTCTTTTACGACATGTTTTTGATTTTTAATCTTAAACAGGGCAATGCTAAATACGATTTTTGTAGTTTGTAAAAATTTAATTAAAAACGAACATTTTAGGTTTTTATAAAAATACATATTGTGTCATTCAATATAAGTGCAAACGTTTTCAAGAAAAATCTACATTTTGTCAATTATAATCCCCTAAATAGTTTAATATCCAACAACATACTTGCTAAAAGTACATTTAAGCTCATTTGTTCTGAAGCGTCCCCTTTATAAGTAGAGCCTTAAACTAAGTAAAGCTTTTAAGACAAATGCTAAGCTAAACATTGTTTAAGTGGGCCAAAAACATCCGACCGAGTCTGCAAAAAGTGCAAAAAGTTATGCATACCAATGCATGCAAAAGTGCAACGCAACCCCCAAAGGCACTTTAAAACTGCAACAGTCTTGAGCAAACATTTTTTTAGCTTTGGTGTGGGTGTTGCTAGCACCAAGGATTAAGTTGTGTCCCAAACTTGGCTCAATTTCGTGAATTTATGCACAATTTTAATTAAGTTTATTATGCTGACAGGCAACTTGGCTGCTGTCTCAAGACGGGTTGAGAAGATTAAAAGCTAGAAGTTTGCATCCCCAGAAACAAAGGCGTCCTCAGCAAGAATGCTTCCATTTCTTATAATTTTAAGACGGCAAAGACAAAAACAGTGAAATCCCCAAGTGCAGTCCGAATTGGAAACTAAATGAACAACAGTTGAACAACAGCCAAAAAAACTGAAAGTCACTAGCAGGCGAAAAGACAACAACCGTCGGCCAAAAAGAACAATACTACACTCCACGGCTTATATAATACATATCCCCGGGGCGGAGGAGATTGCCAGAAGGATGGTGAGTGTAATTGCAATATAAATACTTAAAGCCAACTCGACGAAGCCATTTCGGAGTAGATGTCAAACGGAACGAAATTACTTTGTTCCTAAAATGAAAAAGTTTGCTTGAGTTGCTTTGGGCGAAGTCGGTCTGCTTAGCCATATGGCTCTGTAAATTCCCATTTGTTTGACATTGGGGCCAACTGCTGGGGAAGGAACCATACAAATTTCAAAATAATGCTCCCTTCTTGTGGGCAATTTGAAGAACTCGGAGAAGGCTTAAAAGTCTTGCGAAAGCATATCAATTTACGTAATAATTGCTGTCTTGGTTACACAATCATCATTTTTTTGTTCTATGAATTTTTTATTTTTATCTCAAGTGCTTAGGACTCAGTGGCTTTTCTTTGACACCTAAGAAGTGTTGAGGGCGCAAAGAAAATGATTAAATTGCAAAGGATTTACACGAATGTGCTCAGCCCTTAAGCAGCTTAGATGATTAATTCCCTAGAAACCCAGTTTCGCACTCGGCCAGATGTCGCCGCTTAAGCACAGCACATCATTCTCGGAATGAATAATTTGGTCTTGACCATCCAAACAGATGAGGCCAATTCCAGTAGGATCTTACCCCTTCCATGTTCAAACTAAATCGCCTTCAATTAATAAAAAAACGTACTGTGCGAACTGACAAATTCATCAGCCGGCAGGGGCCAATCAGTATTTGCAGCAAACAAATCGCACAAGCGGCAATAAAATTCATCTTGTTGTGGGCGAAACAAGAAACCAGCCAAAAATAAATCACAAAAATAGCTGAGTCAGAACGCCAGTAGGCTGGAATCCGATCGAATTTCCCCAGCTGACTGGCATTTAAAATCTCTGTCACGCTCCGCCCATGCAGCGAAGCGAAAAGGCCGGAGGACTTCGGATTGCCAAAAATTACACCAAATTTGTGACAACTGCCGATAACTTGAGGCTACTTAACATAATTCTCCTGACGTCAACTTCGCTCCTTTGTTCCAAAGGAACCGACAAAAAAAGGCAGCAAGGGGAAAAAAAATACATGAAAATTCAATTTCCACCTTGAAAGTCAGTTCCTCGAACTGTGATTGGAACTTCTGCGACAAATTGGTGATCAACTTCGGTCGCTGCTCCTTTTTGTTGGGCGAAAACTTTTTTATTACGCCCTCGCCTGGGGCGGAAGGGGAATCCCAATCCCCAAAACTGTTTTGGATTGCAACAGACAGACCGTTTTACAAACTGGCCAGTTTGCGGTCGACAGACTTTTCCATTTAGGACTGGCCAATGTTTGAGTTGGCAGTGCAAATGTTAGTCAATTAAGTGCCGGCTAACTTGAAATTGAATTTCCATGACAACTTTGTCTTCGGCTCGTTTTCAGCACCAATCCCCCACCCTGCTATCTGGCGAGTTAATACCCCGATTGGTGAGATTTATTAGCGCCCCGTTTATCGCAGCTGTCAGCTGGTAACGCATACCTTTAGGCGCCCCCATAAGTTTGCTTCACCCAACTCACCTGCGGCAGAGCCATCGGCTTTTATCGATACTGACAAGTGCGCAGCCATTTGGCGCATAAAATTACACAATTATTTTTAGCAAATGTCGTCATTTACAACCTGCCTGTATCCGTATTTGTATCTGTATCTGACTGCCGTCCCTCGACGCCACGATTCCTTGATCTGCTGGCAAATGCCAGGCATCAAACGCATATTTCCCTGGGAACAGCACTCTTGACTTCTTCCAATTAAGTGCATGTCTCGCCCTGATGTGCTGCATAATTTATGGCGCCGGGTAATGCATGAATATTTACGAGGGACAACAAGCAACTAACTCTCGCATTTCAAATTGACATAATGCATAAATTTACAGCGAACGCAGAGAAGTTTTGAAAATGTGAAGAAATGGGCAAAACTTTAAGACAAAGTTAAAGATTTTGCCTTGTGAAAGTTATCCTGTGGCAGATAATTTGCGAGTCAAGTCCCTTGAGTCGTGTCTTTTGTATTTGCTCAAAACGGCATTAAGAGGCAAATACCAAGACCGTTTGAACTTTTTATCACGCCCTGAGATCTCTCAACTCTGTTATTAATTTAGAGCACTGAAAAATTCGTTCCCTATCAAGATTACGATTTAATAGGGAAAAGAACCCCTTCTTTGTAGCTATAATTTTATGTCATTTAAAATAAAAATTTTAACTGAGTGTTATTTGGGGTAACTATGGTATTTTTCATAAGCTTAAAGCAGGTTTCAGGCTGCAAATTCAAATTGTTTTTTCAGCTTAAGGGCCGGTTTCTAGTCTCAATGTCAAAGTCCCAAACAGCTTTCGTCCGAAAAAGTTAAAGACCAGATAAGCTTGTCTTTTAAGCAAATCGGTTTAATTTATTTGAACAAAAAAGTGTAACAAAGTGCTGTAATTGTGCTTAGATGAACAAAAGCAAAGATTTTCTTTAACTAAATCAATCCATCTGAGCTGTGAATTGCCTTTTCATTTATTTAATCTGCCTTCAGAAACCATTTGTCATTTTGTCGAGCCGAAAAACCCTTAATTTAAGCTCTCACATAAATGCACGAGATAACCAAATTTTCTTAGCATTCCTTAAGATATATGACATGCTTACCATAATAACGAGTAAGCCAAACTTTGAAGAAAACGAAATTTGTGTGGTTCCTGTGTAAAATAAATTGAAAATATTTGTTTCAATCAAATCAATATATTTATATTTTTAATCTATTTTAGTCTAATTACCAAAGCTAATAAATTGTATTTTAAAACTGGATGTCTTTACAATTATACCCGAAATTGTTTCCAGTGCTTGCCTGCGAAGGAGGCATCAGAACTTTCATTCATGTCGAATACCCATAGAATCCTTTGGTGCTGGGCCACCTACTGGCACAGCACAAACTTTTCATATGGTTATTGCCTCATATTTTTTGGGCGGCCCCATAAACCAGTGGCATGTGCCATCCGCAGTTGGGCGAAATGTGTGGGTGGCGTGTGCTGCCAGCCACTCTCATAAATCATAAGTGATGTGGCACGCAAGTCGCCCTCCTCCGGCTTTCCCCGCCAAGCGGATACTTTCGCAGCGGATTCTGGATATAACGATACAATGTTTTCCAGATAATCAGCATGAACCAGACGGCGGAGCACCTCAGCGGCTACGTCAGCAGCAGCAACAGCGGCAGATATCTCGACGACCGGCATCCGCTGGACTACCTGGACCTGGGTCCCGCCCGCGCCCTCAACGCCACGGCCGTCAACACCTCGGAAATGAACGAGACCGGGAGCAGGCCGCTGGACCCGGTGCTCATCGACAGGTTCCTCAGCAACCGGGCCGTGGACAGTCCCTGGTATCATATGCTCATCAGCATGTACGGCGTGCTGATTGTGTTCGGGGCGTTGGGCAACACGCTGGTGGTCATAGCCGTGGTCCGGAAGCCCATCATGCGCACGGCCCGGAACCTGTTCATCCTGAACCTGGCCATATCGGGTGAGTCGCCATCGCCCCTCTCCGCCGGCGGAAATCCGTTTCTCATCCGAGCGGACTTTCAGATCTCCTGCTCTGCCTGGTCACCATGCCGCTGACCCTGATGGAAATCCTGTCCAAGTACTGGCCCTACGGCTCCTGCTCCATCCTGTGCAAAACGATTGCCATGCTGCAGGCACTCTGCATTTTCGTGTCGACAATATCCATAACTGCCATCGCCTTCGACCGCTATCAGGTTAGTCCTCGTTCGAGCCTCTTTTAATGCCAGTATTAGTATGCAAATGGGGCCAAAGTGGGGCAAGTCATGTTCCGATATTAATGAGGAAAATGGCTTCAATTTGTAACCATTAAACTTGACGTTGAGGGAAAATCGATGGGCTCTGAGTAAATATTTGGTGATTACACGAATGCTTAACCCACCATTAAATTTGTGGGTGTGGGTCCCAGATAGACAATTAATTGATTTTAATTGTACATAATTTATATGTCCTTGCACATAATAAGTATTGTTCACTGAACAGAACATTTAAAAAAAGGGTCGTTGAAAAATAATTAAGCTAGTGGCTCGGTTTTATTTATTGAACAAACCAATAAGGATTTTTAATTTAATATTTGACCACCAGGACCCACAAAACAAACCGTTCGCAAAAGGACTTGATATTTAATTTTCTGAGGGGATACTTCTACTTCTCGAGAGGTGTTTATAATAGTTTTGGGAATTCTTTGTTAGTTTGTCAGATCTTACCTATATATAATGACGTTCCATCTGATTAAACTAAGAATTCCGTGGCAAATCTAATCTAATCTATTTCAAATCTAATATATTCCACATTATTTTAAAATTTTAATATTTAATATTCTGATTTCATATTTTAAAGTAATATTTATTGACAATTTTAAATTCATTAGTCAGATATTTATTTTTTCCATATTTTTAACATGTTAATCACTACCCTAAAAAAAAACTTGCCAAATAAACTTATCTTGTTACATAAGTTTTAAACTAATGGGCATACAAATTTGATCAAAAAGATGAAATTATATCTCGAAGGAATCAAAATACAGCTTATGTGGTTTAAAATTAGGGCCTTAGACTATAGTTTCAGACTCTTTGTATAGAAATTAAACTAAAAAGGGTAGTGGTTTTATTATTTAGTATTAAATAAATCCTAATACTTTAATACTGTCTGTAGTTTATTTTCAAGAAACACTTGTTAAAACTAAGCTTTCAGATTTTTTTTATTTTTTTGGTATAGATCTCAAGCAGGGACGAGTCTGTAACCCACTGCAATACCTTAATCACCCCCTGACTCTGCTTCCAGGTGATCGTGTACCCCACCCGGGACAGCCTGCAGTTTGTGGGCGCGGTGACGATCCTGGCGGGGATCTGGGCGCTGGCCCTGCTGCTGGCCTCGCCGCTGTTCGTCTACAAGGAGCTGATCAACACGGACACACCGGCGCTGCTGCAGCAGATTGGGCTGCAGGACACCATACCGTACTGCATCGAGGACTGGCCGAGTCGCAACGGGCGCTTCTACTACTCGATCTTCTCGCTGTGCGTGCAGTACCTGGTGCCCATCCTGATCGTCTCGGTGGCCTACTTCGGCATCTACAACAAGCTGAAGAGCCGCATCACGGTGGTGGCCGTGCAGGCGGCCTCCGCCCAGCGGAAGGTGGAGCGCGGGCGGCGGATGAAGCGCACCAACTGCCTGCTGATCAGCATCGCCATCATCTTCGGCGTGTCCTGGCTGCCGCTGAACTTCTTCAACCTGTACGCGGACATGGAGCGCTCGCCCGTGACCCAGAACATGCTGGTGCGCTACGCCATCTGTCACATGATCGGCATGAGCTCGGCCTGCTCCAATCCGCTGCTTTACGGCTGGCTCAACGACAACTTCCGTAAAGAATTTCACGAACTGCTCTGCCACTGCTCTGAACCCACTAATGTTGCTCTTAACGGTCACACGACAGGCTGCAACGTCCACTCGGCGGCGCGTCGTCGTCGCAAGCTGGGCGCCGGCGCCGACCTCTCCAGGGGCGAGCTCAAGCTGTTGGGTCCGGGCGGCGCCCAGAGCGGCACCGTCGGCGGCGAGGGTGTCACCGGTCTGGCGGCCACCGACTTCATGACCGGAGGCCATCACGCGGGCGGACTGCGCAGCGCCATCACCGAGTCGGTGGCCCTCACGGAGAACATGCCCTCGGAGGTCACCCAACTGATGCCGCGGTAAAGCCCAGGGTACTCCCAAGTCCCATGTTCAGTCTGCATCTGCATCTGCATGCCAACCACCTTCGAAGGACATCCGTGTCCCTCTGTCCGCCCCTTGGGCTGATTGGATTTGCATGCTCCAAGCGTCGTTGCTGCTCCCTTTTACGTTTCACTTGTTCCAACTGTCATTGCCAGTGCACACTGGGATTAATCTCAGCTGTTCAGACTCTCTAATTGCACGTCTCGGTCTCGAGTGGGGTCATAAAGGTAGTTTAAAGTACATATGGGGTTTGATTAAGGTAAAACATGAGGACGAACCGTTCGATGCCAATACACAGTTTATTTCGCTAAACATTATTGGGCTACAGTGATAAAATTACTTTTTCCTTTGGTAACACTTGTAATAAACATGTCCTTATCAACTCTTTTACTTGTTGCTATGTTATGCCATCAGGTCGTTATACTGAAAAAAAAATATTGTTTTATTTTTGAAATTCGTTTACTCAATCATGTTGAGTTATACAAAATTTCTGTTTCTTTGAGACTCGTTTTTGGCATACTCTTAAGCCTTTCATTTCAGGTGTAAAAAGTAAGAGTTTATACTAATTTTTAAATTTTATTAAATATTTATTACCCCTTAAAATAAAAGGTTTTGTTCTCTGCATATAAATTTTAAATATAAATGTCCTTTTTTAATAAGAACAAGACAGAATTTAAAATCAAAAACAGATTCACGCTAGAGACTGACCCTTTCTGATTTAATGTTTATCCCAAATATGATTTCTTCTCGATTGACTATGATTTTTTCTCAGTGTATGCATGCGCTTTTCAATTCCCTTTGTCGTTGCCTTGACGAGCTGTAACTCTTGTCGTTGCGTCGCCATGTTGTGACATTATTTGCCTTGAGCAGCCATCGATTATGACCCAGCTTCTGTGACACATTTTCAGTTTGGAACAGTACTAAATTGGCAATCAATCCTGGAGCAGCGGGAGGCTGGAGCAGCGTTCGAGTGATGCGACTTCCGATTCGCTCTTAGAATTTACAGAAAACATATATTGTTCAGTGATCCAAAGCCAAGCTGAGTTACACCTAAGTTAAGACACAAAACTAGTAGAAATCGCGAGCATCTCATCACATCCACCATCAATGTCGGACTAAGTCTAAGGTCTACTTTCGTTTGAACACTTTGCTATCGAATGCCGGAAAGTAATTGATTGAGCCCCCAATTGAATTTCGGGTATTTGATAAGTCGAATACGCCTAAGACCTCGAATAAGTTCCATTTAAAAAGTTCCTAGGAAACACTTTCATTTTCTCTCAGAGCTATTTATTTCTTGTTATCATCTAAGCATAGGATTAGCCTTAAGTGAAGTTATGTTTATATTCTCTAATGATAGGATAACTTGAAAGTCACAAAACACATGTGAATTTATAATATAGTCCGTAATTGTAAAAAATCTTTTAAATAAATGTCAGCAGCTCTAAAACATCCGAATGTAAAATGTTTAATGTCTTTCAATGACAGACTCTACGCAAAAACTATAAAATATTTTAATAAATGTTGTTTACAAGTCCTGCATAATAGAGTTGTTTTAATAAAACTAAAAAGCGTTAAGCGTCAACTTGAAAAGTGAGTGCCTGTTAAGTGGTAATTAGAGATTTATATTGAACTGCAAAGAGTGTTCGAACTAAATGCGCAAGGGCTCTTAACTGAATGGAAATTTTGATTGTTTTCCCTTGAAAAATTTGTAATAATGGGTACTTTAGAGGTACAAGGACTTTTGTGCGGAATGACAATCGTAAGTAAGAGAAGACTAAAACGTGTCTTTAAAGACTTTAAAACATTTAAGGAATAAAATGTTGCATGTTCCTTAAGTAAGTGTGCAAAAACGGGACACCGTGTTTACCAGTTTAACAACACAGCTATAAACAGCAGCTGACCCGCCCAACACTTAACCTTTGACACTTTTGGGGGTTCGAGACACTCAAGTAGCCGCAGCATAAAAACCTACGACCCATAAAAATAGCGGTTAAGCATGCGAACTGTAAGTATGCCTATTTATAGAAATCGCCCTTAGGAAGTTTGAGATCTAAAATATCTATTCTCTTTAAAGTTTTTCTTTAAAAGTATGTGCCGAACAAAAAAATAAAAACCTTTGAAATTAGAATGTGTGAGATAAGCAAAATCATTGCAACGTAATTGGGAGCCCCAATTAAGGCAGTCTCTGGTTTACTCATAATGAACTCATTAGCCCGCATTTGGCGAAGGCTTCTTTTGATGGGTGTCAGGTTAGGTAAATTAGTGTTTGATTACGTTTCAATTAAGGCCTTTGCAACGCCATGGGCGAAAGGTCAGCCCCCATCTTCCCTCGGTTCGCAATGGCAGTTCGTCAACGTGTGACACAAACGTGACCGGTGGCGAGTGAATTATGTATCATACGGAAAAGTGAAATGTTCCCGCCAGGCAGCGTGAAAAATGAAACAGAAATAAAATAAACTAATTAAAAATTTCTTTGGGGAATGCGTGATGCGACAGGTGAGGCTGCTGCTGTAAAACTGTCAACGGCCCGTTGGCCGTTTGTTTTGACGGGCTTCAGCGCGGTCTTATGCACTTGCGGCTTGTGAAAGTGTTTACCTTACTTTTTGTCACAGTCAGCCGGCTCCGCACCTTCCGCTCCCCTGGGTCAACACCATCATCGCCATCTCCATCGAGTGCTGATTATGGAAACCCAGCTCACTTTCTTCTCATGCAGATTACGCAATGCTGACAAAAGCATTCTGGGTGTGAGTGTATCGTCATCGAACATTTTACGGAACCGGCGTGAGCTGGCAATTAGCATATTTATGAGTAAAAGTGAAATTAATGATTGGAATAAAATTCAAAGCAAAGGTTCGCAAATATTTGCGGTTAGCCGCAGACCCTCTCTGCATACCAATTGATGGGACAGAGATTCAGATTCGGATTCAGATACAGATACAGAGTCGACTGAGATATAACGTAATAGTTGTCTGGGATCAGGGCACTTAAGTCTCTACATCCCCGCTGCTGTTCGACAGATGTCAGTGGCAAATGATGGAGGATTTTAGGGGCAGCAAAACCAGAGGGCTTTCTTTGACATCTTTGGCGGCTCTTTAATAGGCGCTAAACGAATTCGCTCCGAGCACTTTCACATGGGGATGGCCAAGATGGGTGTTCGCCAATAGTTCATCCATTGTTTGGGCAAAGAAGTTGGCCCCGATTTGCGTAGCGTTTTTAGAAAACATTGCTCGGACCATTGTTACACTGAGAGTGGTTATTGATTTTGCGGTCCCATAAACTGGCTTTCATTTCGTTTTGGCTTTTGAGCTTCTCAGTGGTTCAGTGGTTCGGTGGTTCGGTGGCTTGGCGGCCTGGTGGTCGGGAGGTGGGGCGTTTCCGCTTGTTAGCCACAAGTCAATGGCAAAGTTTGTCACCAGAAATTAATAACAATGTGACGCTCAGTTGGCCAATTCTAAGCGAAGACTTTCTCATGCGTAAACCGGCCAACGAAACCCGTTCACAGATCAAACGCTGCACACTAATAAATAAGTGAAAATGTGCTTACACTTAGCGCTGCTCGAAAACTAGTTCAGTTTGAATATTTATAGAAATCGAAAATGCTCGACAGATGTGCACAAATGAATGTTGCATGTTTCACTTTGTCGCTGTGCTCGGAATCCCTAATCCTTAAATCCCCTCATGTGCAATGCAGAAAGACAGCTCCCAACAGCCATTATTGGCTATACAAAATGGACTGAATTCCATCGACACAGAAAAGGAAGCGATTGTCCTGTGGGTTCTTTCGATTCAATGGCAGTCGAGCATGTTTGGTTTGAGCCATGAAACCCACAAGTATATTGCAATGCCACCAATAAAAATAAACTTACCAAAGTTTGCAACCAGCTCTTTTGCCAAGAAAATTACACAACGTTTCCATTTGATTGCCAAGTTTTTCCCCAACTGTGGTTAAAGTCAACATATATAGTTCTATCAATTTCAAAATGCATATTTAATGAGCTAACTGTATGTAATAGTCTCAACTACTAAAATAAATAGTAACTTTAGAAACTTGCACAATCTGGCCAATTTACGCATTTAAATACACTAAAATTTCTCCGAAAACTGTGATGCTAAAAGCAGCAAGTTGTTCAATGATGTAACGTTGGACTTATTAAATTGTATGCCTCCTCATTATGGAACGTTAAATGTCATTATTATGATAACATTGATTCTGTAATTTGATTATGCCTACCGCTCCACCGATTTTAAGTTTATTAAATTTCGAAATCCATACTTGTTTAGCAATTTGCGATGTTAATTATTTTGAATCGAGCGCAAATTGCGTGGGGAAGCTCAGTGTTTCAAAAGTTTAACCGACGCTTCTGGCAGGGAAAAACACACAGATAAAAGTTGTAACAAATTAAGTTAAGTTTGCGGCAACTCTTGGTCAAGTTTTTGCAACAGAGATCCACACAGCTTCCCTCTTGGGGCACAGAAAATCGAAAGTTCGACTTAGCCAACGACTGACTGACTAAGTGACCGCTTTCCGTTAGCATATGGTGACTCTTGCTTAGCGCCATGACTTGACGAGTTTCCAGCGATTCATATACATATATCCACATGCAAAATTGACATGCAATTTCACGGCGACAGGGTTCGTATTTTTTTAATATTTTGTGAGCTGTCCGGAGAGCAGCAGTTTTCATTAGCGACTAATTTCCCGTGTGCGAGAGAAAATGACTACTCACTGATGCGGATATACACTGCGAAAATATTCTATGGATGTAAATATAATTTATTTACATGCTAAGCAAATATCATTTTATTTTGTTGTGATAGTTATCTACAAGGATATGTCAAATTTCATGATTTATTAAATCGAACTCACAATTGTTTTTACTGTTGCAACCCGAGATTGTTAAGATCTGCGCTATCCACACTTTTTGTGGAAACTCCAATTAAATGTTAATTAATATAATATTTTATTTAAATTCGCCAGCTATCATAGGTTTTAAAAGCATCGTCAAACAACAAGTTTTTACAATCTAATTGAAAATATAATAGAAATTATTTGTATTTTATAAACTCGCTTGCTAGCATATTTTTAAATAAATAGTTTAAAATGACTTTTGTACCTCATATACTACTATCAGCATATTTGTTAAGTTCCGGGTTTGTTAAATGTATTTGTCTAACCCAACTAAAAATATTTTGACGCACACCATACTTGTGTTATGAACGCATCAGTAAGACAATGTATAAAAAAAAAAACAAAATATGTATTTACAGCCGCATTGCTTATTATCGACTGGTAAAACATTTTATATAAATAAACATACTAGTACAAATGAGCCCATAAGCGAAAGATGCCAATTTTCTGACGGTGTAGTTGACGGCGTTGTCACTTGGCTTTGCCGCCAGCTGTTGCCTTCAGCTTTTGGGCCGGCTCAAAGACTTGGCAGACGGCGCTCTTAAGCCGCTCTTCGCTACGTAAGCAAGGCGGTCCGCTCACGTAGCGTAGCGCTACGTAAAGCCAAACTGGTTGATTGCACCCGCCGTTTGGCTTTCGCCCGGCAGTCTAAATCTTCGCGAGCTGAGCGACAGACGCAAGCGCGCGAGCAAACCGAGTAAAAGCTAGCTAACGATCTCCAATCCCCATCGATTACAATAACTGCCAAAATAGTGGCAATCAGCGGCGTGTGCTGCACCAGTTAAAAGTGGGGTCCATTGTTTGCACGGGCAAACACACGGCAAACACAGTGGATTAAAGTGCTGTTAAAGTGAAACGAGCTGCGGCAATTGCATTGACAAAGGAAGTGAGCGCAGTGAGTGAACGGGTTTCGGCCAGTATTTTCACCTGGCCAAATCGGAGAGCCGACGCAGCACGGCAGTGAATGCAATTCCGATTTCGAAATACACAGAAACGAAAGTCTGGCGAAGAAAGTTCTTCGCCGAATGCAAAAATATAATTACCACACAACTTAAACTCCTGGAGGAATTACCCAGCCTTGCCAGCGAAAAGGTAAATTGAGTTGTTATTGATGACCGCCAGTGAGTGGCCTCATTAATCACCAGTGAGACATCGATCCTCCATGCAGTCTTTATTCACGAGTCTTAATTCGAACAATTAATGAGGTATTGCCTGCGCTGGGAGAAGGTTGTTGCCGTCGACAAAACAGAAAAGAAACCGATTGTTAGCATTTCCCTGTCGACACTGTTGTTGCTGTTCAGAGCCCCATTCATTTTGCTGTCCCTCCGCATTTGTATCGCCGAATCTTCGAAACTACGAGTCTCACACTGTGTAGGCATGAGCTGGCCGCTAACTTAATAGAAAAGCTAGGCGGCTGCGTAATTAATTGTCGAGAGATGTTATGCAAGCCGAGCAGCTGGCCTACCCCAACTGGCCAAAAGGGAATCATCTGCTCAGCAGGGCCGGCAATCGAAGCGTCGCCAAATGTTCAACGATACTTTCTTTTTTCGGCTCACAGCGCGTAAAAATGCGTCGAAGAAAGCCCTCGTCTCAGTCGATCAACTGCAAAGTTATGAAAATGATACGAGCGGAG